CTGCTCAAGGGCCACCGCTACGGCCTCTGCGGCCGCAACGGTGCGGGCAAGTCGACGCTGATGCGCAGCATCGCCGAAGGCAAGCTCGAGGGCTTCCCATCGCCGGACGAGGTCCGGACCTGCTTCGTTGAGCACAACCAGGGTGAGGATGCCGACCTTAGCATCCTTGAGTACTGTGTGCGTGACCCCAAGCTGGCGGGTGAGAGCCGTGAGCGTATCTCGGAGGTGCTCGCAGAGGTTGGCTTCACGGCTGGGCCCGAGGGCCGGCAGTCGGAGCCGGTCGGCTCGCTGTCTGGCGGGTGGAAGATGAAGTTGGCGCTTGCGCGTGCCATGTTGCTGCGTGCCGATGTCCTCTTGCTGGACGAACCGACTAATCATCTTGATGTCGCTAACATCAAGTGGCTTGAGGAGTACCTGAAGACGCACACGGAAATCACCAGCTTGATCGTATCTCACGACTCTGGCTTCCTCGACGCTGTGTGCACGGATATCTACCATTACGAAAGCAAGAAGCTCGTTTGCTACAAGGGTAATCTGGCGGCGTTTGTCAAGCTCAAGCCTGAGGCGAAGAGCTACTACACGCTCTCGGACTCGGAGGTGCAGTTCAAGTTCCCGCCCCCGGGTATCCTGACGGGTGTCAAGTCGAACACGCGCGCCATCCTGCGTATGACCGGCTGCAACTACACGTACCCGGGCTCGTCGAGGCCGTCTCTGAACGATGTCTCCTGCCAGCTGACGCTCTCTTCGCGCGTTGCCATCATCGGCCCCAACGGTGCGGGCAAATCCACGCTCATCAAGATCCTGACGGGCGAGGTGATCCCGCAGACTGGCCGCGTGGAGAAGCATCCCAATCTGCGTATCGGCTACATCAAGCAGCACGCTCTTGAGCACGTCGAAATGCACATGGAGAAGACGCCGAATCAGTACCTGCAGTGGCGCTATGCCAATGGCGACGACCGCGAGGTGCTCATGAAGCAGAGCCGTCAGTTGACGGAGGAGGACCGCCTGCAGATGGAGAAGCCGGTTGATCTAGGCGATGGGAAAGGCGCTCGCTTTATCGATGCGCTTATTGGGCGGCAGAAGTGGCAGAAGAGCTTCCAGTACGAAGTGTGAGTACCCCCGATTTCTACTTCTCGTATAAGTCTACCATGCTAATTCCCGCCAGCAAATGGAAGAACATGATCCCCAAGTTCAATACCATGATCTCGCGCGAAACGCTCCTCAAGCTCGGCTTCCAGAAGCTCGTCCAAGAATTTGACGACCACGAGTCGTCCCGCGAAGGTCTTGGCTACCGCCAGCTCGAGCCCAAGGTCATCTCCAAGCACTTCGAAGACCTCGGTATGGACCCGGAAATCGCCAACCACAACCAAATCTCCGGCCTGTCGGGCGGGCAGAAAGTTAAGGTTGTGCTTGCGGGCGCTATGTGGCAGAACCCGCATCTGCTGGTCCTTGACGAGCCGACCAATTTCTTGGATCGCCAGAGCATCGGTGGTCTCGCAGCCGCCATCCGCGAGTTCAAGGGCGGCGTCGTGATGATCTCCCATAACGAGGAGTTTGTCGGTGCACTCTGCCCTGAGCAGTGGCATGTCGATGCCGGCCGCTTGACGCACAAGGGCCACCTCGCGGTTGCGCTAGACCGGTTTGAGGATTCTCGGCCCGGGTCCGGCGTTGTGAGCTCCAATGTCAGCTCTGCGTTCCCGACGCCTGAGGCTAGTGCGGCGAATTCGGCGGTTAATAGCGAGGCTGAGGGAGGCGGGGATCTGAAGTTCAAGGCAAAGAAGAAGAAGAAGATGACGCGCCAGCAGCTCAAGGACCGGGAGGTGCGGAGGCGGTTGAGGCATATTGAGTGGCTGAACAGCCCGAAGGGCACCCCGCATCCTGCTGACACGGATGATGAGGCGTAGATTGTGATACCCTTAGAACGGATAGTGGGATGATGGGATGCCTGGGAAGGGCTTGGTATAGACGGTAGACGGTGGCTTTAATGTCTTCGGCGTTTTGCATTGGATTTTGTTCGGTGGGGCCTCGCGGTCGTTGTTGTCAAAAGTGAATACCCTTAGATGGATGGAAATGAACCTATTGTTAGGACGATTTTCTGTGTCTAGTTGTGTGTTGTGATGTGATGATAATCTCTTAAGTGCTACCAGAAGTGTTCAGTTTCATCCTCTATTGTGTTGAGGCTACCTGTGACTGAAGTGTAGCTTCGGAATATTCAGCCTTGCTGCCTCTGCGCTCGGGCCTTCCGGCGTCGTGATGCTTCGTTGGAAGCTTGGGCCAAGGAGGTTAAAATGTGGCGCCCTTGATGTGGCTTAAAGATATTCCGGGGTACCTCACTTCATCGCAACTGCCTCAAAAGATTGACACCGAACAACAAGCCAAGCTCGAAGACTCGCTTATCGATACGGTTACCTGACCAGCTCAATAAACGCGGCGCGTCCTCTTCTTTCTCCCGCTCCCCAATATCCTTCGACCTACACTTCAAACCCCCCCCACTTCCCCTCACAATGGCCTTCGAAAACCCTCAAGCGTCGCTTCCCTCGAACGATCCCTATGCGACATATGTCAACGCCTCGTGCTTTGAGTTCCTCCTTATTGAACTTGTGCCTATGGCGTACCGCATGGCTGCTGAGCTTGCGACGCGCGAGCAGGAGTGGCTGGGGAACAAGGTGCCTAAGGAAGTGGAGAGCATGACGTCGGGGTTCGGTATTGGGGGCATAGGCGGGAGCGTCGCGGGCATGGATGAGGATGAGACGCGCGAGCAGGTGTTTTTCAGGCTCGAGTCGCTGGGGTATCGCGTGGGATTAGGACTGGTTGAGCGGTATGTGGATGTCCTGTGTGTGCTTGTGGGATTGTGCTGATGAATGCAGGTTCTCGCGGGATAAGCCCCGGTTCACGGATACGCTTGATGCGATCAAGTTCTTGTGTAAGGACCTTTGGGTCATTGTGTTTCGGAAGCAGATTGATAACTTGAAGACGAATCACCGGGTATGTTCGAGGATGGCGCCGTGTTTGGCTGGTGCTGATATGGGCAGGGCATTTATGTGCTCACTGACAACACGTTCAAACCGCTTACGAAGATGAGTCTTGAGAGGGGGCGTGATGGGATGATGGCTCAGGCACAACCGGTATGTACAATGCTTCAGTTCTGGAGATCACCGCTTACGCATTCTAGTTCCTCTACTTCCCGGCCGGGGTCATCCGCGGTGCGCTCGCTGCTATGGGCATCAATGCCACCGTCCAAGCCGAGTGCTCAGAGATCCCAAGCGCTACGTTCCAGATCCGCTCGATCGGGGCGAAGCCTTGAGCATGCCATTGTGTGGTCTTAGCCATTGGCAGCGTCGGTGCTTTGGAGTCTGCGTCTGGATGTAGATACGAATGATGAATGTATGTCATGTCTCTACCGATACCCAAGTTGTAAGTTGCTTCCATGTTATGTCCACAAGGTTAACATCTGTAGTGGCCCTGCCTGTGTATAAACAGCATTTTGGTTACGACATCCTATGCCATCTGGAGTATATATTACTCGTACCTCTCTTCTGCCAGCGAGATGGGACGAAAGGCAATAGTCCCGTTCTAGCCTTACCATCCCCAACCAGTTGCGACAGCACCGACAGAACGTATACCCACATCTCACCCACGGACTTCTCTTCTTGGCAACAACATCGACGCCATATACGCTCCCCCCTACGCACCCTCCAAAATTCCTCCCCCCCCACATCAACACCACAACCCAAAACCATGCCATCGCAATCTTCCAAGCCCGTCAACGAGGCCGAAAAGGCCTTCATCATCGCCCTCGCCGAAATGGCGTCCACCTGGCCCGAGTTCCGCGGCGTCGCGTCGGCTCCCAATCGGCGCGAGATACTGCAGAACCTGGTCGATCGGCTCGTGGAGGTGAGGGACGGGGACTTGATTCCTGAGCTCTGGGCTCCGGCTGAGTACGTTCGCTCTGTTTGTTTATCACTTTCCACCCCTATACCATTGTACGCCCAAACGCAACTGCTAACTTGCAACAGGGGCGTCGCCGTGGCAGACGCCGACGACGAGGTCCCCGCGCAAGATGCCGACATGATGGCACTCGACACCGACGAGCGTACGTAACCCCTTCCCACCACCCACCCCTCAAATTAATGTAAAACTAGCCCCCCCAGCGCCCGCCCAACCCTCATACCTCTCCTGGATCAACGCCCTCAACTACATGATCGCAGACGAAAATGCCGCGCTGCCAGGCTTCTACACCGGTCCGATAGGCATGGTCGAGTCCGAGCCCGAGGCTGAGCCCAAGCCCGAGAGCGAGGCCGAGCCGCATATCACGCCGCCCGGCAGCGATGCCACCGTGCGCATCACCGGGCTGGGCGAGGGCCAGGCACACTCGTCGTCGGCGCAGCAAGGAGATCCCGCCGACGACAAGGAGGCCGCTGGGAGCGAGCTTATCACAAAGCGTTCGAGCCTGGGGAAGCGGCCGCGCGATGAAGATGATGAGAACGGGGATGGGGATGGGGACGATCATGCGCCGCGTGTGTCGAAGCGGGTGCGGACTTGGGTTGAGGGACAGAACAGCTTGGACCAGAATCAGAATCAAGAGGAGGGTGCCGGCGGAGTTCAGGGTCAGGAGGGAGCTTAAGTTTGTCAAGACTTTTGTCATTTCCCTATGAGGTGTAGAGACAAGGGTGGGCGGTCGGGCGTCTCTACACCTCGTGATAGAACTGATCTGGGGCTCTTGTGCCGGTTGCTTTGACTGGCTAGTGCTGGTTGGTTGCGGGGGATATGGCTCTGGGGAGGTAATGCAGTTACGGTATTTCCTTTGATGATATCCACAATGTGTGCTTGCGATGGTTCTGAAGCACTGTCCTTCCCGTATGTCTCCGATGTGATACTAACGTAGCATGCCACCATGCCACCCCCGGGGCAATAAGGTACCTTGCCGTTGCGGTCCCTTTCCACCCACCAAAAAGAGCATTCGAACTCAATCCTTCCCTATCAAACGGACAAAAAGCTGTTGACAAGAGTGGGATTCGAACCCACGCCTTTTTCAAGACCAGCAGATTGGGAAACCTGAAGCTGGCGCCTTAGACCGCTCGGCCATCTTGCCGATGTTGTGATGGAAGCCAAACATGGGAAGCGGATCATGAACGCAATAGAGTCACCTCAACCACATCAGAGCATCACGGCATCATTTCCATCTATGTCGCACATGCTAACTACAAGAGCTTTTGGAGATTCGTCGCTTAGGCCGGGGGGTTCTTGATGAACTCCACGCCCTTCGCAATGTTGCCCCCGAGACCAGTGTACGCCGCCTCAAGCAGCTTCTTCTCGTAGTCGTTAGCGTTGGCCACAATATTCGCCACCGACTTGACACCCTCGGTCTGTGATGGTGTTAGCATGCGCATACCCATCCATCAACAGAAAACTTACGCCGAGCTCGACCGGCACTGAGAAGAAGTCGCAGTTGGTGATCTTCTGGACGGCATCGCCGCCCTCGACGCCAGGAAGGTACACGAACGAGGGCTCGACGATACCAGTCTCACCCTTGGACGCCTTAATGACTTTCTCCGCAAACCTACATTGTCAGCGTCATTCATACTGGAAGCCGATAATACTACTTACCGGAAACCAGCATAGGCCATCGACAGCGTAGCCGATCCCAAACCACCCTTGGCCTGGACAACCTCGTCACCGCCGAACTGGATACGCTTGGTGAGAGCATCCAGCTGGTCAGCCGGGATGTTCACCTTCGGCGACGCCTGGGAGAACAGGGGAACGATCGTCTCGCCGGAGTGACCGCCGATGACCGGGATCGTAAGCTTCGCCGGGTTCTTCTCGCCAACGATCTCGGCGACGAAGGTCTCAGCACGGACGACATCCAGAGTGGTGACACCGAACAGCTTCTTGGGGTTGAAGACACCGGCGTTCTTCAGGACCTCAGCAGCGATCGGAACAGTCGAGTTGACGGGGTTCGAGATGATGAGGACAAAGGCATTCGGGCAGTACTCGGCAACACCCTTGACCAGGTCACGAACGATGCCGGCGTTGATCTTGAAGAGGTCATCACGGGTCATTCCCGGCTTGCCTACACGAAGGTGAGAAACGATGCTTCACAATCGCCATCGAAGCTTACGGGGAATGCCGGCCGGGATTACGACAATGTCAGCACCGGTGAACGCCTTCTTCAGGCCATCTTCCTGAGGCAGATAGCCAGCAGTCGTCTACCAATCTTAGCAACTCTCCCTTGATTCTTGCGGGGGTAACACATACCGCAGGCGACGAGATGTGAGAAAGGTCGGTGGCCACGCCAGGGGTGTTCACAACATCGTACAGCGACAGCTCATCGACGAGGGGAGAGATCTTGAGCAGCAGGGAGAGAGGCTACCATGGCCGTTAGCAACTGCACTCAACAGCTCATAACAATGGAAAACCAACCTGGCCAATGCCGCCTGAAGCTCCAGCAACAACTGCACGACCGTCAGCTCAGCTCCACCCCGCCATCAGACCAGCCAACCATACCCGCCTTAACCATGATGACGATGTGACTTTGGTGATTGAAAGAAGCACAGGAACGAAGAAGAATAGTTGAAGGATCGGGAGGTTGCGGAAGAAGATGCGGGGTGGAGAGGAGATTGTCAAGGTGGGGTTGTTCAAGAGAAGAAGCAGGAGAGAAGCAGGAGAAGAAGCAGGAGAAGGTGGGGTGCCGCCGCGGGGTATTTAAATGCCCAGCAAGCAGCGAGCAAGCAAAGAGCAATCGGCACCCACCCACTCACCATTTAGAAACCCCGCAGCTTGTACCTTCGCTCTTCCCCCCCACTCCTCAGCGCATGTGCTACGTTCCCCCACCCCGCAGGCAAAGAAAGCAACAATGACCCAGAGATCCAGTCGAACCTGCCTCCCGCGCCATGGTGTGACTGATACGTCGGAGCCCTCCAACGCACGCTCGCGCACACCGCATCGCGGACCTGAGTGAGCCAGCGGTGCTTAGGTAAGACAGTACCTCGAGCAGAACGGCTCCCGAGATACTCCTCTCGGCTATCCAACTGATATTCCCTTACGAGCGCTCCAATTGAACCCACGCGATCCGCCCCTGGCTCCCGTCGACTATGATGTCAAGCCTCGGGAACCAAAAAGCGTCAGGGCCGTAGCCCACTCCGTCCTTTCCCCAGCCCGACAATTCGCGTCCCACACGGCGAGAGTCGGAAAGGCTGAAATGGCGCCCTCAACCGCGGAAACGCAGGTACGGCCTCAGCTTGACCAATGAACTATGCGCCTTCACGAGATTGCTTCGAGATTGAACAGATACAATCCCCCGACTTCGTCATTGGTGTATGCTACGCCTCGATCGGCTCGCCCCGAACCCATCCGACCCCAGCCCGCCTCCCGTTCGAGCGGGCCCCGTCGCTGAGCCCAAGGCACACCTCCAGTATATAGAAAGCAAGAGGACCCAAAAAGACCCCATCCCGAACTACTCCCCATCCGGGAGAAAAAAGAGTCATTCGGGAACAGAGATAGTGACAGAGGAAGACCATTGTCCTTCTTTAAAAGAAAAACGAGCAAGGTACAATGACTCAAGACTCAAACGAGGCAATCGCAAACGCCAAAACCCGTGAACACAGTAACAATCCCCATTCCATGTCCTCCCAAACGGCAAACTCAATTCAATTCTTTCGTCATTCATCACGGATCCCATGGCACTGGCATGCTCCAGCAATCATCCCCCGTCCACATCCCGCCATTAGCCGCCCCACGCTGCCGAAAACAAGCCCAATCCCTGAACCCTACGATTTTTTGAATATCAAGAATCGGAAACCCTCGTGCCGTGAATACGCTGTAAGAACTTGACCTAGGGCGAGAGGGTCAATAGCGACGGGTCAACATCGGAAGGAGCCGGCTCCGCGGGACGCGCCTTGGTGCGCGAACGCGTTACTCGTTGATTCGGCTCTGCGGTGAAAGAAAGGCAAAGTCAGCGGTCAAAGCTACGTCACGTACTCCTCCCTCTCACCCTCGGCGTCCGCATCGCCCTCAGCATCAGAGGCACGCTGCTGGACCGCCGCAGGGTGATGCATCTGAATCAACACCATCAGCCTCAACAACCGCGTCGAACATAACACCTAAAATCCACTTACCGGCTGCTGCGGGATGCCGTAGCCGTACATTCCTTGGTCGAAGATCTGCGTTTGGTACTGGTATGCTGCCGACGGGTCGGGCGCCTGCTGCACGGCTCCGGGATACATGCCTTGCGGCGCCATGTGGGGGTCCAGACCATACTCGGACGGCGCCATCTGCGGCTGCGCGTGAACACCTGGCTGCGGCACGGCACCCTGGGGGAGGGCGGCCGCGGCCGAGGGCTGCTGTGCCGAGCTGCCGTGGCCACCTCTTCGGTTCGACGCCGCCTCCTCTCGGGGGACGATGTCAATGAGAAAATCAAACATGTCCGACTTGGCGAGCGCTGACGCGATATCGGACCGCTGCAGCGTGCGGCGTTTGTTCTCCTCGGCATGTATCCAAGCGCGCATGGTCAGCTCCGTGATGAAGATGTCGCAACCCTTGGCAAACAGGATGGGCGCCTCAGCCGAGATCATCTTGACCTCGGGGTCAGCCTTCATGACCTTCTTGATGCGCGCCAGCGGCAGCTGGTGCATCTTAAAGTCGTGGTCCTCGGTCTCCAGCTTCGTAACCTGGTTCTGCCAGTAGACGTTTAGGATCTCCTGCGACTGGCCACTCAGACCTTGCGACACCTAGCACGCGCGTCAATATCCAACCCACTATCAAGAGGCATCTCGCAGCCTGTGGGACCCACATTTGCCCATGTTCCGGTAAACACCTCTGGCGGCGGAGCAGCATTGGCAAGGGCAATCTGAACCAAACAATCAGCATCTGGCTACGGGCCGGTCCACCAAACGTCATGGCGCAGGAAGCGGAGCTGGGGTAGGGAGGGACACGGAAGATGCGACGCGACGCACGTCTTCGTGGGGAGAGAAACGTACTTTCTGGCAGGCACCTGTTTGCAACGATCAAACGTTAGCGGGGTTGATTTCGTCATCTCAATCAGCGCGCGACAGTTCCGCGCGCCAAAGCATCATTACGGTAGCGAGAAGACACCAGGCGGCAAGGCGACGATGCGCAAGAGGGGAGGAGGGGAGGAGACGCGTACCATAGTGACCACCGAGAGACGGGTCATACAGCGGGTTCCCATTCTGACCATCATACTTGCGCGGGCCCGCCTGCTGCTGGGCCTGCTGCTGCTGCACGGGTTGCTGGTGACCACGCATCTTCGCGTCCATTGCGGGGCGCGCTGGTTTGTTCTTCTACTTTGTTTTGTTCGGGTTGATTTCAGGGTTCCTTGACGATGTGCGAGTGGCCGAGATGGGGCTTTGGGCGGGGTTGTGGCGAGCCGCTGAGGAGGTGGTCGTGCGCCGGACGCAGGATAGCTGTCGATAGCCGCGAAAAGCTGCGAAGGGGATGGTTGGTAACGGGGGTGTGCGTGTGCGCGCGAGTGGAGTGGGAGGTGGAAGGGGAAGCTGCAGCGCTTTGGGGGTGCGTGGGAGGGGTGTGTGGGTAGGCGGTTAGAAGCGGTGAGAAACGAGATCAAGGCGCAATGTTGGTTTTTCCTTCTCGAAAGCTCCTTTCTCAGTGATTTTTTCTTCCAGATGGCGGTTGAACACTTTTTGGATGGCTTGATGATGGCTTTGGTGAGGGTTGTACAGATGGGCCAAGGGTTTTCGATCGTACCTGTGCCTGGAGAGCCAACGACACGAATATTCTCCCGGAGTGTTGGGAAGGGATTGGACGAGGGCGAAATAGGGCAGACGGGATGGTCAGGATGGGTTGGTTGATGGGGGTGAGGGATGAACAAGGCAGCTGATGGGATGGAGGGGGTGGGAGCTGGGGAGGGGAGAAGATGGGAAGCAGTTAGCGCGCGTGTGTGTGGTGTGTTGTGTGGATCAGAGTTTCGAGAGGCGTCGCGTCATCGATGGGGAGGTGAGATTTGTGGGGGATGGTGGGATGGGAGGAGGGGAAGATGAAAAGAGGTGGCGGTGGGGGAGGTTGGTGGATGATGTGTGGTAGGTTGTTCTTGCGACTTCTTTTTTGCTGTCGTCGCAA